GTATTTTTTATTTTAGCGTGAACATATAGACAAATCCATTTTACACACACACACACACACACACAATTTAATGAATGAAGCAAGCACCAGTACAACCCAGACTAGCACCACCAGCAGCTCCGAATGCCCTTCTCCCTAGCACAACACGACCTCCCACCCTGCTCCTCCTTTGGATCCAACCACTGTGCTGAATTTTGTGCTAATCATTCCCTTGCTTATTTTTCCAGTTTTATCACTTAGGTATGCATCCTTAAACAATATAGTTTAGTTTTTCTGAACCTTATATGAGTAGAATTGAACTGTATATATTCTTTTGTCCTATTTTCTAACCTATGTTTTTGTTTATAGTTATTAGTTTGCTCATTTTCATGTCTATGTAGCATTTAACTGTATAAATGTGTCTCAATTCATTTATCTATTCTAGCAGTGCTGGGCATTTGGATTGTTTCCAGTTTGTGTTATTATAGACAGTGACACAGACATACTGATACATGTATTTTGTTGTGCATGCACATAAGTTTCTGCAGGGCATATACCCAGGAGTGGACTTTCTGGACTGCATGCTATACATATTTTCAGTTCTAACTAGATAATGCCAAACTGTGACCAAAGTGGTTTCTTTCCAATTTATACTCCAACCAGCATTGTATAAAAGTTTCTTCTAATGCATATCTTTTCCAACACTTGTTATGGACAGACTTTTTTTATTATAGGCTCTTGTTGGGTATATATGGCATTAATATTTCCTTGTGGTTGAAATTAAAATTCCCAGGATTACTAATGATATTGGGTACTCTTGTATAGGTTTGTTAGCCATTTGGATTTCTTCTTTTGTGAAGCATCTGTTTAAGACTTTCCCCATTTTTTATTGAATTGCCTATCTTTTTCCATTGGTTTGTATTTCTTCCTATGTTTTGAGAATAATTCTTTGTGAGTTTCAGTTGTTGCAAATGTATTCCCCCACTCTGATGACCTGCCTTCTCAGATTCTTTATCAGATCTTCCTATGAACTTAAAATATTCATTTTAATATAGTCAAAATTACCAACGTTTTATTTATGGTTGTGCTTTTTGTATTTTGTTTAAGAAATTCTTCCCTACCCCAAGGTCATGAAAATATTTTTCCTATATATTTAAAAACTTCATTGTTTTACCTTTCACATTTTATCTTTAAAATATACCTAGAATTGATGTTTTTGGATGGTTAGAAGTAAGGTCCAGTTTTATTTTCTTCTGTATGGACACCCCACAGTTCCAGCGCATTTACTGAGAAGTTCACCCTTTTCCCCACTTACACGCAATGCCACTTACATTAATCTGATTGTTGCTTTTCTATTTTGTTCCATTGGTCTAATTATCCTTTCCCATAAGAATACCCACATGATCTTACTTATTATAGTTTTCTGATAAGTTTATGTTTGACAGAGCAACATATGCTTCCCTCAGGAATGTCTTGATGGCCGGGCATGGTGGCTCACGCCTGTAATCCTAGCTCTCTGGGAGGCCGAGGCGGGCGGATTGCTCAAGGTCAGGAGTTCAAAACCAGCCTGAGCAAGAGCGAGACCCCATCCCTACTCTAAATAGAAAGAAATTAATTGGCCAACTGATATATATATAAAAAATCAGCCGGGCATGGTGGCGCATGCCTGTAGTCCCAGCTACTTGGGAGGCTGAGGCAGGAGGATTGCTTGAGCCCAGGAGTTTGAGGTTGCTGTGAGCTAGGCTGACGCCACGGCACTCACTCTAGCCTGGACAACAAAGCGAGACTCTGTCTCAAAAAAAAAAAAAAAAAAAGAATGTCTTGAGTATTCTCAGCCTTTGTGTTTCCATATAAATTTTAAAATCAGCTTATCAACTGGGCAATATAAGACCTTAGAACATAATTGTTCCATTTATTGCCCACCTGACATATAGATTATTGTTGCACATATTTTAATTCTGTCTTTTTTTAACCTTATGATACATTATCATTATTATTTTCACAGTGAATGTTCACATAGGTTTTCCCCGCATATTTCCCACCTTAATAGCTCTTCATTCCTTCCTAAAACTATGGTCTTCCATATGGGATCATATCTGAGGTACATTCTTAGAATTTCCTCTAGTGAGAAATTCAATTGGTAGCAAACTCTTAGTTTTTGTTTGCCTGTAAATATCTTTATTTTATTCTCATTTCTACAGGATATTTTTCTTGGGTATAGAATTTTGGGTTATAAACTGTTTTATTTTCAGCACATGAATATATAGCATTTCACTATATTTTGATTTCCATTGTGCTATGAAGAATCAGTGGTCAGTCTCAGTGTCTCTCCATTGAAGATAAGTTGTCTTTTGATTTCTGGCTGCTTCTGAGATTTTTCTTGTGTCTTATATAGTCAATGATTTCACTGGGGTGAATCTAGAGGTAGATTTCTTTTTACTTTTTCTGCTTAGGTTTCATTGGGACTCTTCAGATTATGGACTGGTATTCTGCAGCAGATAGTGAAATCATCAGTCTTTATATTTCATTCATTACCTATTCTCTTTCTTGTTTTACTGATAGTCCAACTAAACACATGTTAAATCTTCTCACTCTATTTCCATATCTCTTAACCTCTCTTCTGAATTTCCTATATATTATCTTTTTGTGCTGCATTATGGGTAATTTCTTCTAGCTTGTATTACAGTTTGCAAATTCTCTTTTTAGCTGTGTCTAATTTGTTAAACCTACCCATGGTTACATATATATTTTTTCATTTCTAGCAGATTTTTTGGTTAGTTTTCAAATGTGCTAGGTAATTTTTAAAATAGTTTCTTATTCCTTAAGGTTTGTATTTTAACCTGAGACTAATATTTTCAACATTTTTAGTCATTCTTGTCTATTCTTACTGGATCTTTCACATGGTGCTTTAACCCTTTGCAGTCGGATGTCGAGTGTGGATAATGTCGAGTGGATAATGAGAAAAAAGCAAGCGAGCGCAAAGGGTTAACTTCTTTAGTAATTGGTTGTATTCAATGGTGTTCTCTTCATTGCTCCTGAGAATATCTTTTGGGAGATCCTGGCATGAACACGCTTTCCTACAGAAGGAGCTTGTGTTTGCCTCTGGCAGGCAGCTGGGAGCACTACTGGTCTTGGCCAAGTTCACAGCCTGAGGCTCTCTGGTCCTCTCCCGTGGTGGCCCTCAAAGCTACAGTGGGGACTGCCCGTTGTCATTTCCTAGGGACGGGGCCTTGTTTCCCCTTTTGTCTCTTTTCTGCTTAGAACCACAATAATTTTCTCTGTAGTCCTGTAATGGGGAAAGGTGAATAAAGTTCTGTTTCATCTTTTCTCTGACAGTATAAGAGTGCTGATTTAGTAATAGTTCTGACTTAATTTGGTGAAGACTTCCGGTTAGAAACCCCACTTTGAGCCAGCCCCAGTCCCTGATTTCACTCCTCCTTGCTCCCATGAAAACCACCAAAACCAAAGCTAAGTTTCCTGGATGAGAAAATGTCCTAAAGGTAAAGCAGCACCAGTACCCAGGTATTTGATTCCTTGGTTCCCGTTTTCCTTTAGATGTTAGCCTAATATTACTTACCATCCTGCCAGCCCTTTGAGAAGGTTGAAAACTATATTCATCCAATATTTTTTTGTTAATTTTGGCAAAATGGGATACTACAAATATCCTAACCTACCACTACTGGAGATAGAAGTCTATTTTACTTATTTATTTTCTTATTTGTTTATATATTTATTGTCTATAAATTTTTCGAGAAGGATTATTTTGTTTGTTTTCTGTAGTATGCTCATTGCCTAAGAATAGTGTCAAGTACATAGTTTCACTCATTAAATAGTTCTTGAATGAATGGAATAAACACTTAGACAATAATATGCATATTGTGAGATATTTTGAAGGGCTAAATTAAACTTTATATCATTACAGCTTAACAAACTGCAACTCACTATATAACCTTGAATAAATTCTACATGCCTTGCACTTGCACTTGTTCAGCAATGAGAAGAAAACAAATTTAGAATTCTAAGCTTTGGCAAAACACCCATCAGCTTTGCACGTCTTCTGCAAAAGGAAGAGTTGAATTAGATGGTGTCTAAGTTTCCTTCACCTTTTAATATTCTGAAACAAGGACATTATTCCTGTCCCCAGGGATAACAATGGCAATAATGATGGCAGTAGTAACTTTAGCTCAGGATCAGAGTTACTGCTGGCCAGTAGGTCCAGCAGATTATGATGATTTCTGTTCCAATTTTTGAAATAAATAATCCTTCTTCCATCCTGCCATTAATGCATAGTCCTGCTTAGATGTGCTCTGAGCTGTAAGTATACACTCTCCTTTATAAAAGAGGACTCCAATCTCACATACTGCAAGGAATATTTCCATAAAGTGAGACAGATGTGTTAGTGACCCTAATTCAGTCCTCTGATTTTCACCTTCCTTCCAGCTTCAGCTACTATGGTTTCAGCCATCCTGGCTCCCAAGAATGACCTGCTACCATCTTACTGATCTGACTCAAATACGAATCACAGGCTCTGCCTTCAGTTTTTCCTGATGCAGCTGAGACCATCTGGGTCTTGCAAAAAGGCTCTACCAAACTTTAACGTAGAGCATAGGGAGACGAACACAGCAGCTACAGGGAAGCCACAGAATCAGACTTACAGAGCCAAGCTGGCTCTCTTCTGTGGCTTCCAGACTGTTCTGTTCCACAAACCATAAGACAGAGAGCCATTCCATGGCTCCAACAAGTGCCCCAACCCAGCAATCATCTTACCCCGATTCCTTCTCCAAGTTTTCGGTCAGTCTTCGGTTGGAAGGTACAACCCACTCCCTAGAAGTTCCAACTTCGCACGTGTGTGGTCAGTGCCTCGCTATTGGGTAGGGTCCTGCCCCTCTGTACAGGACTCTGGCTTCATCTTCCCCAGACTCTCATCATTCCCACAGCATCACAGAATAAAATATGCACAGCACTCACGCAACAGCATCTACATGCACAAGTTACAGGCAGGGGTCCCTCCAGGAAATTACCATGAACAAGATGGACGCAAAGTTCATCAAGTAGCCTGGGAAACGATCCCTCCATGTCAGTTTATCTTCGTCATCCTGGGGAGAAACAGGAAAGTAGAGACAGTCAGAAGGCACAAATAACAAATATTAATGTGCTCTCAATTTGCATAAATTTACAGATCATTGATCACCTGTCTTTCCACACAGATATTTTCCTAGTCACTGATGCCTTACCCTCCATATCAACAATGACTCTCCTACTTTTGTAAGTTGTGGATAAGCTGACACAACTTGGAAAAGCTTCAGTGAAAAGAGGACAAGATTTTATTTCCGCTTCACACTGGGCTGAAGTTCAAGTTCAACCACATGATGTTGCACATGTATCTTAACAATTCTGACTCTCTATTTTTTCACCTGTAAAATGGGTATAGTAGTGACAGTAGTACAGTAGTGACATCCTGCAAAGGATGGACTTATTTGGTTTGTTTAATGAGAAACGTGAACACGGTAAAGCAAGGGACAAATGATAGATATAACCCCACCACCACAGGACAGCATCCTACAAATAGAGCATCCTTTAAATGAAACATCAACTACTGACCTTAGATCCTAATAACTGTACAAATTACCCACCATTTTGTTCTTGAAAGAGCCTGTATGTGTTATCATTTATTTCCTCCAAAATGACTGTGTTCCTGACACCACTCAAACAGACATTTTGAGGCATGGGTTAAGCTGTCCCATTCAATCGGTTTGGCTGAGAACCCTATAGTTTTCCCTTGCAGTGAGTCCAGTCCACCCAGGCGCTGTCCTGGGACAACCATATCACTGACCACAGCCCCCCTTCAGCACATTCTGAGGAGGAGAGGCCAACAGGTATGAACAGTAAAAAGTTCTGCAACTACTTGCTGTGTACTGTTAGTCCAGGCACTTGATTTCTCTGAGCTGCCATTCTATAAAATTGGGATTGACACAGCTGTCCTGTTTACCACACAAGGCTCTTGGGAAGACCATCTGAAGTCGTATTTGTGAAGGTGCCAAGGAAGTGACAGAGCGCACTGTACCAGTGAGGTAGGAGCCCCCAACACACACCCGCTCTTCTGCAAAGAGTCTGAGTCAGACTCAGCAAGTGAGTGCTCCAGGACCCGCATCCCATCTTCTCTTCCCTCCTCACCACTGGTATTTCAGGACACACCTGCTTTGGCTCTAGCAACAGTGCCATCTAGCCTTTGAAAGCTCGTACTGTAAGCAAAGGACGTTTTTGGCATAACAGACTAAAATGTTTCGTGCATCCACCGTGTGTTCACCTTGGTGCCAGGCACAGTGGGGAGACCGAGGAAAGTGGATCCCAAGGGGCTCACAGGTTAATGAAACACCCATGCACCGAAAGGTTTAAAAATCACTGTTAGTTTGGGAGCGAAGGTTACCCTGGGTGTGAGCCTATGGGAACCTGGAAAAAGGAGCAATTCTCGTTGCATGTTTTGAACTGAGCAGAGTTGAGCTGGATTAATGTTAATAAACAGTGGTAGAAATGAGTGCTATGGCTGAAGCCATTTTGTAATTAGCACTTTCATTTATAGATGATGCAAATAAGTGTTATACTCAGGTTTGTATAGACTTAGTGACACGATTAAGTTTCTGGACTTCTAGTCCGGCAGACGCACAGTGAGGACGCAGTAACCCAGGTTGTGACATTCTGAAAAAAATGGGAGCATATAAACCTCTTTCTAATAGGACTAGTACAGAACTATTCATATTCTTCTCAATTAGGCCAAACATCCAGAACTAGAATTTCTTTCATTTCCCTCCAGTATTCATTCCCAGTTTTACTCACACACTACTGTTTTCCTTTAGGATTTCTTTATGGCATTTTTCCTTAAGATGTTGACAAGGAAAACTGAGGATGGGCTGGCAGGTGACAACATTCAGTCAGGGATCTGAAGAGAAACACGGGGGGATGGAAGGGGTTCTTGCTGAGGCCTCCCTAATTATGCTTAAGGTTTTGAGGACTAAGTCTCGGTTCAGGTCCACTCAACACACACGGTCTGAGCAGCTTCCCTGGGCCACCCTCTGTGCTAGATACCGAGGACTCGGTGAGGACTCGGTGAGGACAAGGCTCAGCCCTGCCCGGGGGGAGCTCAGACACCACCGAGGAAACGAGGAAAAGCACTTCAGAGCTAGACCTGATTAGGAAGGGGACTTTACTCCTCGCCTAAAATGAGACATACCTAAAAAGCAACTGAATTGGATGTTCTCTCGAAATGACTATCTTAAAGAAAAAAAAATAATTTTAATGTAGATGTTCTAGTGTTTGTTGAAAAATCACCCTTTCTCATTTTACACTGATGAGCTCTTTTTTTTTCTGGAAGTTATAGTGTTCAACACACACACAGCTCTCATCCGCTCAGACACTGTGCAAACAGGAGAAGGCGAGAGAAACATAAAGATTTCAGACTTCTTCCAGGCTCCCAGAGTCACTAGCAAGGACGACAGTGAGTACAGTAGTCTTTACTTATAATAATCTGGCTCTAATAATGGAAGTCACTTAGAACTCTCTACTCACTAGTACATTAAAGATGTGAAGATTTGTAGCAAAATATCGTTAACTTTAACACACTCTGCATAAAAGTCACACAACCAGCATATGAGACAGTAGAAAGAGAAGTTGACTCGGAACCGGAACATCTCAGTTCTGAACTGTTGGCTCTCTAGTCCTTTTTAGGCGAGCCACCTTGGGAAATTCCCAGAACCTCAGTTTCCTTCTCTGTAAAATAATTACACTCCTTATTTGTAAAATATGTAACACAGTGATCTCTCTCACTCCAAATTACCATGAATTTTGAACTAGCCCACCTAGGAGAGGCCAAGGGAGTACAGAGGGAAGTGCGAACTCTTAGCGCGTCCATCTTCCTTTCAAAATGAAGAGGACAGCATCTTCCCCACCTCGGTGGCTGAGGCTTTGTGTGGGTCACATGAGTGCATGCACGTGAGGGAGCTCTGCAAACTGTAAGGCACCATACAGAAGATCTAATCAGCTTCATGATTATATCAAAGGCAAGAGATTATAAAGTGCTTAGCTAATGTCGTCATTGTTAAGACAGGATCCTAGCTTTTGTCTGTGCCTGTTTCTTTGTCTCCGCTGTCTGTGTCTATCCCCAGGCTATGGATCCCAAGTCTGAGTCTGCAAACAGCAAGTGGCACAGTGATATTCACACAACACCACGCAAGTGCCCTGTTGGCAAACCAAGCATTTGGAAATGAAATCTCTGAAAGGGCAATAGGTGAGAGTATTACTTAAAAAAATCACTTGGAGAGTAATTTTGAAAAGTGGCAATCATCCTTGAGTTGGTTAGCTTTCTATGTTTAATTAAGGTCTAATTTACAAGTAGGAAAATTCACCTTTATTTGTGTGTAGTTCTATGAGTTTTGATGAACATATACATTCATATAACCACAACCAAGACAGAGAATAATCCCATCACTTCCCAATATTCCCCCATGTCCCTTCGTAGTCTTTCTCCTCCCCGGTCCCCAGAACCTGGCAAGATCTGGTTTATCTCCCTCTAGTTTTACCTTTTCCAACATGTCACGTAAGTGCATTCATACAGTATGCAGGCTTGTGGGTCTCACCTCCGCAACTCAGTGCTGTGCATTTGAGATTCATTCACTTTGTTGCATGTCTCAGTAGTTTGTTCCTTTTTCTTGCTGAGCAGTATTCCATTGTATGGATGCAGTACACTCCATTTATTCACTCACTAGTTGAGGGATGTTTGGATTGTTTCCAGTTTTTGACTATTCTGAATAAAGGCACTATAAGCATTTGTGCACTGGTTTTGGTGTGAACATGGGTTTTCATTTCACTTAGATAAATACCAAGTAGTGGAATTGCTGGGTCATAAGGTAAGTATATGTCTAACTTTATGAGAAACCAGAAGGCTGTTTCGTTTCGCATTTCCATCAATAACATATGATAGTTCCTTCCTCTCTTTCTTTAAACAGATTTTCATCTTAGAATAATTTTAGAATTACAGAAAAAGCTTCATAGATAATTCAGAGAGTTCTATATGCCCTGCCTCCAGTTTCCCCTGTTATATTAGTATTATTACATTGTTCACAACCAATGGCCCAACGCTGTACATTATTATTAACTAACGTTCATCCTTCCTTTATAGTTCTTAGTTTTTACCTAATGTTCATTGTCTGTTCCAGGGTCCCCTCTAAGATACCACATTCTATTTACTCATCCCGTCCCTTCAGCTTCCTCCAGACTGTGACAGTCCCCGAGACTTTCCTGCTGATGACCTTGGCAGTCTCGAGGTGTGCCGGTCGAGCATTTTGTGGAACATCTCTCAGCATGGGCTTGTCTGAAGCTTTTCTCATGATGAGACTGAAGTTACGGGTGTGGGGGAGGAAGACCACAGAGGTAAGGGGCCATTTTCATCACATCCTATCAAGGTCACAGGCTATAATATGACCTATCACTGAAGATAAATGCCTTGGTCACCTGGTAGAGGTGGCATCTGCCAGATTTCTCTATTGTAAAGTTTTTCTTTTTCTTCTTTCCATACTTTACTCTCAGAAGGAGGTCACAATCCCACATGTAAGGGGCAGGGAGTTATACTCCAGCTCTGTGAGGGACAGTATATATATATTCGCCTAGGTTTTTAATCTAGATTTTTATACTGTGAATTTACTTAAAGCAGTGCTGTAAAGAAGAGATGTCCGTTATACCAAGGCTAAGCCAGTGCGGATTACAAAAGAATGAAGGTGGTAAATGCCAGTGATCAGTAAGCATCAGCCTGGGGTGGAACTGGGTTTGGGCTTCAAAGGAAGCAGGGTCTGGTCCTCTTTCTCTGGGGACGCCTCCAAAGGGGAGGAGGCCAAGCTTCGTCATCAGCTCTTGCGGTTTCATCATCATCATCTGCTTCACTGCTTCCAGATAATAACAAAAGGGTCAGGAGTAGGGTCAGGCTGGTTTCTATTAAAATGTTCGCACACTGACTCTATGTTCTTGCAAATATTTTGGGGGCAGTGTCTAAGAGAAGAAAAAAACAACGGAAAATTCTAAGTTCTGTATAATTATGGGTTGTATTGCT